CCCAGCGGAGATCGGATCTCCGACAGGAGTCCGATTCCCTCGTTCCCAGACCTACCTATCCTCCCGGCGCTTTCCTCACCATAGATGAGATCTACAATGGTAAAATCCCGTCTTTCATTCCCATGCGGAACATTCTCAATCCCCGTTGTCGGAGATTGTGACTCATGATAGTACCTGCAGGAAGGGCGGTATATAAGCTCGAGGATCCGATGTTCGGGGTCCGCATTCACCTGCTTACGAAAGTGCCGCCTGACACGCTTCGTCTGTGATCTACTTCGTCTCGTCCGTGATCTGCTTCGTTTCACCTGTGATCTACTTAACCCTATGCTCGTGCGCCTGCACTGGTATCTTGTGTGATAAAACTTATCCTACTTTAGTCTGGCCTGACACCTTCTAGCGGTAGTTCGATCTACTGACATACGCGGTACCTAGGTTCAATAACCACATTTTTTCTCAGCAAACATCCGCCTAAGAATGCTGCTTCCTGACTATTATTCCAATTTCCAAAATGTATCAAACAATGAATATTAGTGCACAAATTTTACATTTAATAACAAGGAAAACAAAGAAAACACAAAAAAAGCTGGACCTGTTCCGGGAGGTAGTCATCGTCTTCATCTTCATTGGGTTCATAATCAATATCAAGAAATGTTCGAGAAACACGTGGTACCGTTACGATTGCTTTTTGATCATTATGCTGCGGAAAAAAACCCCCATATTATTCTAGAGGTAGCAAAAAAATGCAAAATATTTTGAAAATTAATTTGCAAAACGGAACTAACTGGTCCCGGACAATTTTAATAATATGGGGTTTAATAAGCTGCAAGTAATCAACAGATAATAATCTAGAATTTATAACTGTAAAATTCTGTAACTTTTCTATTTCTTCTATTTGCTTACGGTCTTTCATTTCTTCCATTTCTTTCATTTCTTCTGTTTCACATTTCTTTTAATTAATTCTATATCTCACTAAACTATTTTGTTACCACAATCGTCGTACTGACAACGAGGTCCAATTGTGATAATGGTAAGAAACGTATACAACTTAGTGGACCGAAAAATTTCTTACCTATAACAAATATATCTTTAGACCCCTTTCCCATTTTATTATCCTTTTCCTTCTTTTCATTGTTTCCTTCTTCTCCTGATATTTTCTTTTCAACCTTTAATAAAAAAACAAGATGAATTAGAGCAAAACTATTACCGATACTTGACCGGGTAAATGCTTCGTCTTCGACCGGGTTAACTTGAGATCCGAAACTGCATCATTTTGATCTAATCCCATAATGAGCGATATTACTTGTGGATTTTTTATCATATGCTGCAAAAAAAAAGAACGATTTTAAAACAAAATCATCAATTTCTGTGAAATTTTTTTCAGCTGCGTTCCTGTAAGTTCAAAAGACTCGCCTCACTACAATTTTTGGGAGGTTAGAATATCGGTGAGATAAGTGTTCTGCTTTTTGGACGAAGTTTTTGAAAATTAAGGAAGAGAGCAGCAGTCGGATTCAGATCATTTTTAAAATGCCCTGGCTTGACATTAGGTCAAAAAAAAACCTGGCATTTTTTTAGGTAAAATCTTGACATTTAGGTAAAAAATCTGGTGACATCAATGGCATCTTTTTGAAAAAAACGATCTCTCCATAATTTATCCTAGAGCTGTAAACACAGACAGGATTAGATGATGCAGCAAAGGGTGGTGATCATCACAGTGCTTCAACCCGTCACTCAAACCGACTGCAGCATAAAAAAACCTTATAAAATAATGCCGGGGTCACGAAGAGGCTGAATTTTAATTTTAGTTGGTATGTGTTTATGCAAGATGTAAGGAAATAAAGAAGAAAACGTGAATAAATTAAAATTAAAATCTGAATAGGAATGTTTCGGTCCATTAAGTCGAATATATTCCTGTTCAGTGCAATGACCGGACCTCGTCAGCGTGACGTTTGCAACAAAGTAGCATGCAATATGTCAAAAAAGGAAAAGGAAAAGGAGTTTACCAGCTAAATATGTCACGAAATTTCACATTCAGTGATACAGCTTTAAATACAACAGCCAAAAAAAGTTTACCAGCTAAATTTGTCACGAAATTTCACACTTGGTGATACAGCTTTAAATACAGCAGCCAAAAAAAGTTTACCAGCTAAATTTGTCATGAAATTGCTCTGCGGTAAAAAATCAGC